CAATGTTCCAAACTCACATTGGTTTCTCAAACAGCATCTCTGTAAACTACGTGTATTCACTGAATTTCACTCTCTGCCTTTAACGGCTCGTTGTAGCTCCAGTAGCTCCAGCCCCCACCCTCCCTGTGAGCACAGTGTGCTCTGATTGGTCGGGACGTTGTGAATCGCGCTGAGCTCCATGGAGGTGTGGTTTCCTTGTTTAGCGACAGCGAAACACAGCCAAACTCATCCTGAGCACACAAAGTCACAGCCGAGTAAAACAATAAGTGTGGCTTGATATTGAGTAAGACAAAGGTTGATAAACGCTGTGAGAATGGGTCTGCAGAGAGAATTTCGCCGCGATCCCAACTGTCTGTTATCAGCCTGCAGCCAGGGAGGAGAGATCAGCAGAGCTGCTTGCACTGAGTGTGTGTGTGAGGAAGTCAGTGGATTGGTCAATTTGGACCAATCAGCGGGGGCTTAACGTAACGGCTCCGCGGACGTAACGTAACAGCTCCAAGGATTGGCTCATTTGGTTCCGGGTACCGCATGACCGTATCGCGTCATAGCTCTGGGCTACTGGCCATTCCTACGTCACAATACCCAGGAAGTAATCAATGGACAGTGACGTATCTCCAACGAGGCGTTTTGGGGAGGTCTTCTCTGTGTTAGAGTTTTACTCGCTACAGGGTGTACTTTGAGGGTTTTGACTCTGCAGACCGTTTACATTCAGAAAAACCTTCATAACACACAAGGGGACGGGTGATAACCGGAAAAGCATGACATGGGACCTTTAAGTCATCCCCCTTAACCCTTAGATGCCCGAGAGACTGGACCCTACTCTACTTCCATAAGTGGGTACAAAAAGGACCCGTATTAGAATAATGTGTTTTTCTTCCAATTTTGTCATTTTGGTTTAGAAAAATCACTTTTATAATATTTAGTATTATATTTTGGTTCACACTAGAAATATTTTATATAAAATTTTTCACTATTTATAATTTTAGAGCTTTTTTTTTTTACATTTTGAACATATCGATGCAAAGATCTCCGCTATTCTGAGACCCTCACAGTATTCCAGTCCCTTTTCAAAACTCATCTCTTCCCCTCTTGTCTACTCACCAAAGCCCACCCCCCATCAATCCATGCCGGTTGATCAAGTTTGATAGTCCTATACCCCCCACCCTAACCTTCCCTTATATTGTAAAGCGATTTTGAGTCCTTGAAAAGCCCTATAAAAATATAATGTATTATTATTATTATTATTATTATTATTATGATTATACTGACAGGTATCAGATCTTGCTGTGTAAAATAATCTCCCTGAGAGATGTCACTTGTGATGTAGTCTGTGTGGTCTACAGTGAATGTAGTCCTGACAGGTGATAAGAATCAAAGGTTCCCAGAGGATCCCATAGGAAATGCATGCGGGTCATTTTTGGGTTAGGGTAGAAATGTGAATGGCATGATATCGAAAACATGTTTTTTGAGGAATAGCTGGAATATGAAACGATAAAAAAATGTAATTACAAAGATACTTCAAGAAAACCACCTCACCGGGTCCTAAAAGACCCACTTATGCATCTAAGGGTTAAGAGACAAATGGCTCATTTATGTGTTTTTAATAGTCTTTGGTCTACAGTAGAGCTCTCTGGCAGAGAAGAATAAAATATATCGAGCTTTCAATTTGGATAATACTTGTAATGATCAGCTTATCGTTGGTTTTGTTCTTTAAGAGGATTTGTTGACAATAAACAACAGATATAATCAGTACTCTCTCTGCTCGACACAACCAAGGCAAATCGTTCTTACCGAAATCTATCAAATTCAGAAAGCCACTTCCAATATCCTCTTTCAACGTGATGTCCTCTGAGCGAACCTGGTTCAGTGAGAAGTGGTTCACAACAGCGATGTCACTGTTGTCCCAATGTGAAGAGAGGATAGTGTTAACACAGACCGAACACTTCATCATTAGAAGGTGATCCAAATATTTAACAAAAGGGTTAGCCCTGTATCTATCATTCAAAACAAAAACATGTTATATTGTAACACTGTTGTCTCCGTCACCATCATTGATCCACTTCTTATAACATGACAGGCTATTCTGTGAGTAAATAAATCCGCTGTATATACACGTCAGGGAGAGGAAACAGTGGCACCTTGGATGTGGCAGCTGGGTATCAAAGTCGAGGAAATCTTCATTCAAGGTGATTGCCTTCAGCGTTGCCTCGAGACCCTCGTCGGGCAAATCTGTCTGACCTGGTGTGTGGAGAGAGAAACACAATATGTACTGCATTTAGGGTTGCAAAATTCCAGGAATTTTCAAAGATGGAAACTTTCCATGGGAATAAACTGGGAATTTTCTAAATTGAAGGTTGGCTCTTCAAAGGGAACTTAAATATAGTTGGGGAAAGTATATGTTAGCATAATCTTGACTAAAACAAACAGATGCCATTCAAGTACACTTGAATATCCATGCCATAGCACACGGCTTCCTGCATGGCTATTGAGACCACACCCCCTACAGGCACTGTGCATTCCTCCATCACATGCACACATGATTTCGAGAAGACTGGATCACACTTTCGAGCCCAAAGCACAAGACAAATGAAGCCACATCTTTTCATTAACATTTTGAATGGGACTTTGTGGGGATTTTTGGATGGGGGGTGCATTTTTGTTCATTTTTTAATGAGTGGGGTTGACTGTTTTCGTTCTTCAATAAAATAATTTAAACTTGTTCTGTTCTACTTAAAAAAAATAACAATCTGTTGAAATGTCATGTTTTTTGGTTAATTTTGCATCGAATATTTCTAAAATTCCCCAGCTTAACTTCC